GATGCGTGTGTGCTGTAGCTGCAGGTGAGGACTTGTTTTTGCTGTCACTGTCAGTGGTTTAATTGGGACCTCTGTATATATATAATTCGCATATGGGCTAAACTAATCCGGGATACTAAACTAGGATGGGGCCTGCGTCGTGAGCTTGTTGCCCATGCCCATGGATGTAATTATAGTTTATACACAGGCACTTTAGCCGTTTTATTAATAAAATAATAGTAAATACACACAAATTGATCGATTTAACTCGATCATAACTGCCTGTATATTATCTATTCTCTATTAACGAATAACTCCACATAAATTACGTTCAAATGTTCCTCTGCAACACCACAGCATCACACCAGCGCTTGGAACGTTTTAATAATAAAATGTTGGTAAACAAACACGAAATCAATTTACTACCAAAACTTATTATTATTGGTGACGGTGTCCCGTAAATACAGTTTAGATGTTCATCTGCAACACACAATTTTACCGCATGCACGCCGTGTAGTAGCCGATTCCACTATAGGTCTGTCTCTGCATGTATGCATGCAGTAATATAGTCCGAGCCGACACAGACCCCAGTAATGGTTATATAAACCCGCAACCTCAGATTAGCAAAGCGGAGTTATAATGTCTGCGTGCGGACAAGCAGTAATATTGCGTGTGGCAGAGGAATTATTGGGGAATTATTACTAATAATAGGCGAAAGATAATAGATAAACATAGATGGCTGTGTACATAATTATTGAGATAATATTATTATCAGTGTTGTAGTCGAGTCCGCACCCCCCGAGTCCGAGTTCGAGTCTGAGTCCGAGTCCGAGTCCGAGCCTGAGTCCACACCACCCGAGTCCGAGTCCAGTTTTGATTAAAAAAACGAGGAAAAAATCAGAAAAATGGGAAAAATCGGGAAAAAGATCGGAAAAAAGGGAAAAAGGGGAAAAAATCACAACAGTGCATCGTAGACATTCGAAAGTGTATAGTCAGCCGAAAACACAGAGACACGAGTCATACAAAACGTGTCAAAGTAACGGATCCATTTGTGTTTTACGAGAATGACACGGCTTGTTGAACCAAATGAGAGCGTGCTAGTACCTTTGAAGTGGTAGAAGAAGAGAAAGAAGTGGTAGAAAAGCGCAAAGGGACGAAGTGACAGCAGATTCAAATCAAATGGACAAGTATCTTAATCGAGCCATTGAAAACGTTACAAGATTAGGCCGTGTATAGATCTAGAAAACCTAGGAGTTTTAGTTTTAAATTCTTGTGAACTGCGTGTTACAATATGTACAGTTGTGTACTATGTATGTAGTGGCCTCGAACCGGCCTCGACCCGAGTCCTCGAGTCCGAGTCTGAGTCCGAGGCCAAGACCGATACCGAGACGAAGGAAAACGGTTTCGAGGCCGGTCTCGAGGCCAAGACCGGCCTCGAGACCTACAACACTGATTATTATATGCTGCATTACTTATTTTATGAAGCAATATAGGGGTGTATTTATATAAATGGCTTGTATGTATACATACATACAAGAGCGTATTAAGAAGGAGAGCGTACAACGGTGAAATGCTGAAACCATCGTGCAGTATTGGTCGAATTAAGAAACTTTGCCCATTTTATTTTGATGATTCTTTGCGGCAGTATTGATCAGCTGTCTTATCTTACTAATATAAAACAAACTGCTTGTCCCTACGATGCTCCTACGCTGAGATAATGAGCGGTGAAAATCTGGTATTTTTGCTGAAAACCGACTCGAGATCTCTGTTTGCTGCGACCCTCTCTCGTTTTGTGGCCAGTATGTTAATTGCTTCCGGTCGCCGCTGTGTAGCGCCATTATAGCGCTGTCTCATTATGTCAGTACTACAGAGATTACTACATCCAGCGTGAGGTGGGCACAGGTGGGGGTCATCACTATGGCAATCAATAACAGACGTCATTCATTCCATTTGTCAATCATTGACGGAAACACGCGAGGTTTCCCGAAGCTGTCTCAAAGCAAGAGAGGGTCGCAGCTAAAGCTGTGGACACACTAGCCGATTTTTCATGCGATTGAGCCGCCCGGCTGTGAGTCGGGTGGCTGAGTCTGGTAACTAGCTGTGGACACACTAGCCGGTTTTTCATGCGATTGAGCCGCCCGGCTGAATGATGATGATAGTCACATGATTGAAAATGGCACCGTTTGATTGGCTGATGAATTGCACATTAGGGCGCGTGTAGTAGAGCATTGTATAGTCGCATTGTATAGTATCGCATTGTTCGGGCGCGCATTGTATATAGTCGGGCGACTCAAATAATTATCAAACATGTTTGATTCGGGCGACTCAGCCGGCCGACTCGAAAATTGACCGCGACTCACTGAACACACTAGGCGATTTCATACTAATACTAATACTAATACACTAGGCGACTAATACTGCAACATGGTTTCAGCATTTCACATTTGTATGCTCTCCTGCATTCCTATACTTTAATGTAGAGTCCAGTTGGGTCACCTAGTTCTAAAAATGACAGTGGGCTGAGTACAAGTTGGAGAATGACATGAGTGAGATGAGAGAAGGTATTTATATATAAGCATATGTTTGGTAGGGAATAGGGTAGCATCCTCCTCTACTATTAACGGTACACAGCATTTATTAGATGGTTTGCATGCTTTGTTGTCCTTATACTGTATGTGCAGCAGCGCCAGCAGCTGTTTAGTTTGCAAGCATGTTGTGTCCTGTAGCTACTTACATTATCAACCATCTGCAGTGCAAATTGCCCCTTGTTGACTCTGCTCTCCTGAGCTGCTGTTTTAAAGCAGTTGAGAAGGCAAGTGATCCATTATCAGAACGAAATTGTACGACAGTACTTGACTTGCCTTTAGGGCTTTTCTTGATGCATGTGAAATGGTGTTTTGTTTTCTGTGAAAAAAGGCGTCTACACTAATGGTTGGCAATTATGAAATAGACGTAATTTAAAAAATCAAGGGTTGGTTCATTTAGTTACTGAATGGAAGCCATATACATACCATAACTAGATTGCAGCACATTGTTTGTTTCTTCACGACAGAACAAAGTTTGATTTATGCTTGAATATCCCCTTCCTGTGAGCATCTATCAAGAAACGTTATCAAAGCAGAAAAATGATGGAAGAGTCACTCACACCTATTGCGAATGGCCATGACAAGGTATGGTTAAGTATACACACAGTGCTTTCTAGCATCTATACGTGGCACAATGCTCTATAAGTTTAAAATTTACATGTTGTTCTTATGAAGTAGGTCACATTGGATATATGCATGGAAATTATTTATTGCACTATATGCTAAAATACTGTTCCTGTAGGATGCAGAAGAAGATGATGAGGATTATGAAGATGACATATTTGACATCAGAGATTTGCACATGTCCACAAAGCCTCTGATGTCCCGCAGGCAACGCCAGCCGAAACATGCTTCTGAATTACTAAGAACGAAAACAATTCCGGTACCTATAATCAGTTTTATAAACATTTTGTGAAACTATAACAATTGCATGCCTCTCTACATGGCACTTGAAAAAACCTAAAAAATCCCATTGTTGTGGCATTTTTCTGTGATAGAAACAAAGGCTGCAGTGCTGACATTTTAGAAAACCTAATGGTTGTATGTTGAGATATTACTGTATAATGTAGTGCGATTTTAACTGTGTACTAATTTTCTTATTTTAGTAATTCATGGAATTTAATGCTGCAAATCAATATGTTGTAAAACATCATGGGTTTAATTAACTATGTATGTTTTGTTTGTTATTATAGCGGAATCGATGTTGCCAAAATGTATGCATGCCTGTTTTCTACTTGGTGCTTATTCTGGTGGCAGCTACTGGAATGGCAATGCTGGGGCTGTTCTTCTTTCAGGCATTCACAAGCAAGGTACTACAGAAAACGTAACCGGGGACATTTCCCGTAAACGTGGTGGGGTGGGTTAATGATGAGTGCTAGTAACTAATATTATCTGTTAGGTGACAGTAACCCCCAAGGATGAAACTGTTAAATTGTATATTTTATATTTATGAGACAGGCCCATGCAAAAATGTTGGATGGTTCAGAAAAGTTGATTGGAGGGATTATTGGAAAACCATGCGTGAGTTAAGATGTATATTGGCATTTTAACCCGAAAAAGTAATATTTTGAACTATTCCATTTGTAAAAGTGGGCATAATAATTGTTAAATCAAGTGAAAGTTTAACTAGCAAACAACAGCTACATAATACGGTGAATTAGACAGGCTGCAAATGGAAGGGCAATAAGTATCTAAAGTAATTTTCTTCCAATTTCATCATCATATCTTATCGCGCCAACACTGGATCCATCTGAGAGCGGTATCGTTTGCCTCCTCAAGGTCTTGGTCGGAGCACTGGGGTCCCAGTGGGCACCCATGGAGAATATGAGCCATGGTTTGGTTTGGATCGCCACACCAATGTGAAGAGTTGCGACCTAAGAGCAACTATTAATTTTCAGTCAACATATGGAGAGAAGATCGTGGGATGTACGCAGTTCAGTGTAGAGGACGTGTGGGTGCAGAATTACCCTAAGCTGCTAACTGAGAGTGCTATTAGACTGTTGGACATTAACCAAGATGGAGTCCCTGATGCCGTGATAGGGTTTGCTACAGGTAGTGCCAGCAATGACTGTATATAAAGCAATTTTCTTTGTGGTTTATAGTGCTACAAGTGTATTGTATCATGAAGCATGTTGTTCCAGTCCATATATTCTGCAAAGTATTTGTACCTGTGATCATATATTCTAGGTTTACTAGAGTACCTTAACTGTTGCAGAAATGGGAAGTATAGAAGCATAGCAAATTGTAGCTGATTTTAAGTAAGAGAGTGATTAGATTATGTATATTAATCTTTATTATTAAACCAGTTATTATTAATAAGAGTCTTATAAGCATATTATATGCAACATGTTCAACTATGTGTAAATAATATTCAAAAGCTAATAGCTAATTATTTAGTCATTCTTAATTTATTAAAAAAATTATCAGACATGATTGTCAATTTTAAGCAAATATATTCATATACAGAAGTGAGTTAAAAAAGTTTTCTTGATTCATTCTGATATGTGTTTAATTACCCCCAACTACAAATTAAGGTGCTGACGGCTACAACATCCCTCCAATCGTGTGTGATCTATACTTTGATGGCAAACATCCATGCTTTGGTGGACTGTTGGCGCTTGATGGACGCACTGGCACTGAACTGTGGAGGCATTATTCTGACCACGAGGTCTATGCACTTAATTGCAATGCTGATCTAGACCAGGATGGGATTAATGACTGCCTTGCAGCAGGCAGAGCTGGGGTATGTTTTGACATCTTGTATGTAAACAGTTAAAGGAAACAGAGAGAGAGAGAGAGAGAGAGAGAGAACGAAAGAAAGGGGGATAGGGGTGGTGAAAAGAAACGGAACAAGAATGAAAGGCTTAGGGTGGCTATGATAATAATGAAGGGGCTGTCAAATAGGAGAGAAATAATAAAAACCTTGCTAAGAAGTTCCATGCAATAGGTTAAGTGCTGTGCAGTGGCAGCTAGTATTGTGTGTTTTCCCCGCAGGAAACGTTTATAATGGATTTAAGTACATGTAAATCTTCTCTGCAGGTGTTTCAAGCTGTGAGTGGGCGGGACGGTCACTTGCTCTGGAACTTTGGGCCGCAGGAAGCCCGGAACGACATCATGAACCTCTACACCCCACAAGTGATACTAGACCTGAACAGAGATGGTGTGCCAGACATACTTGCTGCTCATGGTGGTGACCCACTTGCTGATCCTGGTCAGTTGCACCAGTGTGTGAAAGCAATTTATATGCTTACTTATTGCACACAGAATTAATTAGTTTTACCATGGAACTATATTATAGCACCTGTAAACAATCAGGAACCTTGCTACATAAAATTTATGGTGTAACCGGGAATAAATTATATGTACCGATTATCCTGATTAGAGTCTCCCAATTTATCCCTGGCTAAATTATTTTACCATAATTATAAATAATTGGTTCTAAGTATGGATTTGTGGATGAAATTGTTCTATTTCACTGCATTTTCATTACGTGCCATGGCTCCCAATTGGGTCATGCATAATTTTACTAATGGTAAATTATATGTAGCATGGCTTCTCATGTATCTCCACCAAAATGATTAATTCTGATTACAATAGCTAACTATAATCATCCAGATGATGCTACCATATTTTCACAGTACAAATTTTCAAACATTTAATATTAAATTTATATATTATCAATAGCGTATAAAGAAGGAGAGCGTAAAACGGTGAAATGCTGAAACCATGTTGCATTATTAGTCGAATTAAGAAACTTTTCTCGTTTTATTTTGATAATTCTTTGCGGTATTATTGATCAGCTGTCCTACCTTGCTAATATAAAACAAACCGCTTGTCCCTACGATGCCCCTACGCTGAGATCATAACATTGAGAGGTGAAAATCTGGTATTTTTGCCGAAAACCGACTCGAGATCCCTGTTTGCTGCGACTGTCTGTTGCTTCCGGTCGCCGCTGTGTAGCGCCATGGTAGCGTTGACTCATTACGTCAGTACTACAGAGTTTACTACATCCAGCGTGAGGTGGGCAGAGCTGGGGGTCATCACTATGGCAATCAATAACAGACGTTATTCCATTTGTGAATCATTGATGGAAACACGCGAGGTTTCTCGAAGTTATCTCAAAGCGAGAGACAGTCGCAGTCAGCAGGTATCTCAAGTTGGTTTTCGGCGAAAATACCAGATTTTCACCGCTCATTATCTCAGCATAGGGTCATCGTAGGGACATGCGTTTTTTTTTATATTAACAAGGTAGGACAGCTGATCAATAATACTGAAAATAATACTTTATTAATTCGACTAATACTGCAACATGGTTTCAGCATTTCACCGTTGTACGCTCTCCTTCTTAATACGCTCTTGATATTATATTAAGACAATTTTTTTTATGCTATCTATCCTAGAATCTGTAGTCAAAGAATAATATATATACATGTATGCCTGATGATTACTCAAAGACATATAAAAATTTACTTTTAATATAGAATGTTAATTTGTACACCAAGTAAACAATATTGCTTGCATAATTCCAGGCAGTGAGTTCCGGTTGTCAGGAAGGATCATCTTCTTCAGTGGGAAGGATGGGGAAGTTTTGAAATGGACAGGGATTCCTGATCAAAGGGAGACCTATTACTCACCTCAGGTAGTGAAGCGTCTTTGTTTCATCATCGTTCAATATTGGTAAGACAAAGCAACAGGATACACGAAATAAGCATTTTCATTGAATTTGCAATATGTCTATTATGTGATCAAAGGATGCAGGCTGTGACTAAAAATTATTCAATAAATTATGGATTTGGGATGAGGTGTTAATAACATGTTAGGTTACAAAGATTTTGCAGATAGAGCTCCTGTACATAAAACCACACATGCTGCCTCCTGCCTATACTTCCTACAACACCAGCCGTTGTCTATCTATGTCAATATCTGTACGGTTTTTTCCTAACTTCCCAGTAACGTGAGCAATATATTTCATTCTTTACATTCAATTAACTTATGCCTAGGTACAGATGTCCATTGAGAGTGTGATAATGTTTGGCTAATTTTATAGCAATGCACCATGTAATGAGGATTTTTGGACATTGATAGGTGTTAACTAGAGCTGATGGCACTCAAGGTGTGCTATTTGGAACTGGTGGCGAAACACATGGTGGCGCCCTTTGGTACATTTCTCTTCATGATCTCTTCAATGGTAATATAGAAAAGGTATTATTCCAGTTGTATGTACATCAAGTTCCCTAAACATTCAGACACTATCAAATGTTGCTCTGCCAACAAATTTTACTTAATGGCATCATAGGTAGCCAGCTACCTATAAAATATTGTTAGTAATTTTTCGTATCTTTTTGTACTGGTCGGATTGGAAAGAATGCTGTATGGTAAGTTCGTATTGAAAAGTATATAATGTTTGTGTGTACCTTTTCTCTTGCTGTTAAGGCTCTGAAACTAACGACTGATGCGTACAAGGGCTTCATGACACCAGCTGTAATCGTAGATGTTAATGACGATGGTGTGGCCGACATAGTTGTGGCAGCATTCAACTCCAGTGTTCAAGCGATCGATGGCGATACTTTCAAGATACTGTGGAACTTCACTATTCCCCAGTCGGAATCATACAGGTAGGTGAAAAGATTAATCCCTCCTGAACATTGAAAATATGTCTAACAATATTTTCTCATACATGTCATAATACATATTAGATTGATCATAAAGTTTGATGCCTTCTACCTTGAATAAATATGATTTGTATTGCCTTAAATATAGAAGGAGCATATGTTCATATTTATATATTAATGCCTATTGTTTGGGGCACTATGCTCTCATAGTGTTGCTGAGGGAAGGAATAGTGACCTCGCTACCGCTCGGGCACTATACCTTCCCTCAGCAACACTATGAGTGGCGCCCAGACGCAGGAGATTCGTGACGTGAACACAATGCGTTATAATAACAATGCGCCGCGCAAGCAATAGTGCCCGCTTAGGCGGGCACTATTGCTTCATAGTGCCTGCTGCGTTATCCAATAGAATTTCCACGATTTATCACGTGATGCACTAAAAGCTAATAATAAACACAAAATGATATTGGCAGCACACCAGCAGTTGGATACTTCAATAAAGACAGTACACCTGACTTCATGGTGAAGTATGCAGAAGGACCTGGTTTCCCAATCTATTATCAATCACGAGTAAGTGGTATGGGAATTCTCTTCATCCATTTATTGTGAACAGTTACAGGTTACTGTATTTACAATATATATTGTATAGTGTATTTAGTTTTAAGTGAATAGTGCTCATAGGCATTGCATTATTGGTAAAGCATTTTAATGATTTATAGTTCAAATATGTGGTTATAATTTAAATTAATAAACACAAGCTACAAGTGTCTGAATATGTACGTTCATACAGTTTGATGCATGCTGCATCTTATTTATACAGTTTTTTGTTCGAACAAACTTTCTGATATATTTTTTACTCGTCCTTTTAAAAAGTCTGTAGAATCCACATCTGAGTGCACAATATGATTGTAAAAAAACGTTACGTCTAACTTGGTCATTAAGCTGCTATGCAATACTTTTTGTATAGACAACAGTGCTGGATGGGTTGACAGGAATGCCACTACTGTCACCATATATAACAGATACCGTAGGATCTCAAAACTCACCGCTTACCATCTCCATTGAGGGGCATGGCAACGATATATTTCTCTACTGGCTGGCTGACTGCAAAGGCTATGAGGGCAAAGGAGGAGAGTTTGACTTTGTGGAAGGTGTGAAATTCTAGAATTTGGTTATTGTTGCGGCATAAAATATTCACATGTAAAATTAGTTTTTTTGAAATGATGTTTTATCATCTTATCTTGCAATTATAAATGTCTATTAATATATATATATATATATATATTGAGTGTGTGTGTACGGCAGGAACGAATGTACATGAGCAGAGCCGGTCGAATTTCTGCAAGCTGCGTTTTAAAACCAATGGCTTCAGTCAGATGTTCATGATAAATAGACACTCGGGGACTCCTGGAACCAAGGTGTATGATTCAGGTAGGTTCATTGTTGATTTGAGTAGATAGTACAAATATGAACTAAATAGCCAATGAGGTTATCTGGTAGGATTAACCAAAGTGTAATGACATTCTTTAATAAGTTAAGTTAAGATTTAATAGTTTTTTACATATATTTGTATCAGATTTGAAATGTTAGGGTTGTCTGAGGCATAACATCACACTGAATGTTTACATTGAGTGTCCAGTAACATTGCCTTTGGGGCCTCAGCAGAAATTGAATACAGAAAAGTAATGTGTTTTGATTGCCATGTAACAGAGGAGCGGCGAAGCACAGAGTATAAGGATGCAGTGAACACCACAGCTATGGCAATGAAGTGGCTAGCAGATCATCCTGAACACTACCCAGAGTATCTGCGTTATAGCAAAAGGGGCAAGAAGGTGCAAGAAAAGGCAAACAAGCATATTAATCCCACACCATTTAATACACAGTATCAGGACTATGATTATATAGATGGTACGGTTTATGACATTATGAACAATATATCATATTATGGTAGTGTAATTTGCACTGATAGATATGCTCAGTAGTTACTGTGAGTATATACAGTCATAAATCTGTTCAATTGTGATATCATTATCGATGCTCATTCATGATATAACTAATAATGAAATCTAGTTTACATCCAGATCAGGTCTGCATTGTGAACATTGCTGTCAGTTTCGACTAGCGTGTAAACACTATAACATCATTACTAAATATGGGTTAGATTGATATTAGGGTTGTCATTAATAATTAAGCGTATGGTTATAACCTTCTGTTCTATTTTAGCAGTGCCAGTTACAGAGTTTATACACTATCCCTGGTTTCTGCCTTTATATCTCAGAAATTTTGTTAATTGAAAGCATTGAAAACAATTATTATTTTTCTCACAAAAGAGCTCTTTTACAGTCGAGATGTTATAGATGTGCAGGTTGAACAACGTGAGCTATAAATCACCAGTGGTTTTATCACGTAGCGTTTCTACTGACTAGGTTATCAAGCACCAGCACACAGACAGTCATGGGGTGACATAGGATATGACTCGTATGGAAGCAGGAAGCACGGGCGCCAGAAACGACATATTGGTGCTCATGACGAGGAAGGCATACAGCGGCTGCTGTCAACCGGTACGGTTACGGTGAAACCCTAAAAGCATGAGGAGGCTTGTTATTCAGCCATCACCACATGCCATAAGCTACACGCTTATATAAAAGCTGACAAATAATTTAAACTTAGCAGGTGGACCAAAGTAATATAATTATGTTATTTTACAAAATGTATTTAATCAATTAAGTTAAATGGACGTGCGTTATATTTAAACGCGTAAAAGACATTACAAACTGACTTAGATAAAAGACATTTTCACACGAACCGAGTCATATAGTTGGGTAAATCCCACGCCTGTGATTTTGCTGCGTATTGTTGTAGCGACATCAGCAGTAATTGGGTATTTAAATTTCAGGTACACTAGCACCTCCGCTGCCTGGTTCTGATATGAACCACAGCATTGATGTTATTTTTGCTGTGTACTGGTTCTTTCCTGCCAAGACTCAGGCCATACTCCCTGGTGACCGTGACTGCATACTAAAGAGGCTTGGCGGAGAGAAAGAGCGGTTTGACCCACAGAGTGAGCAAATTTCAAACATCATGGCCACATAATAATACTCTTCCTGAGCCACTAAAAAGTGGTGTAAAAGTGTTGCTGACATATTTCGATGTGCGATTATTGTAAGCCTGCATGGTTATTTACGCACACAATTAGGCCTACTTGCATACCATAAGATATTTCTATAGAAAGTAAGCCTCTTTCTCTGTCTCTCAATAGGCACTTATTATGGAATGGACCACGATGCCTATGAAGCTGCTATCACCAAAGAGTGTGTGACAGTGGGAGATGATGATTCTGGTACGTTTGAGTCACAGACCGAGTACAATCCATACAATGTGCACATGGGGCAGATGACAGTGTATAGACTGCGTCTGAGCTGCAGGTGCAAACCGGAGGTGGACCCAGACAAACATAAACACTGCAGTAAGATGCTGCCACTTGAGAAGCAGGCTTGGGCTGCCTACATGGGCACATTTGGCACTAGTTATTACAACGTATTGAGGGATCAATGATAGCGTAAATGCGTTTGCGTGTGTACGTGTGTGTTCCGGATGATAAGAAGCAGTTCCATGATGCTTAGTTAGCAACAGTGCGGATTCAAATGCCTTGATGATATACTGTACATCTAGTCTTTGAGTTTATAGTTTCTATAGTAGTTGTTAGTTCAGACATTCTGAATGAAGAAATATGGCCTGCATGAATTTCAAGTAAATTGTATAGCTGTTTGAGTCACTAGTCAATCGATGAGTCTTGACCAAAATTAGTTTGTGCAGTATTACATCGTGGAGACTGATTGCGTTGGAAAATACTTACAAAGGAATATTCATTCTTATATTATTTATCTGAGAAGCGTCTCTGTGATTGAAACAAGTCAATGGTTGTTTGATGTAGGAGGTTAACAGTGTAGATAGGGACGAATTGTTAATCACATGCCATAAACAAGGCTAATTTGGGGGTGGAACAGTATTAATGGTACTTTGGGGTAGTGCTTACCTAGTTGATTATATTTCTTGCTACACAAGGAGAAACGTGGTTTATTGGTGCAAGAATGGTTTGAAATGGCTCAATGTACGGACGTCTGCTAGCTGCAATAAGTAGAGTCGTGACTAATCATCCTATCATTTTAACACACCAATTAAGTGAAATTGAAATAGCGGTTCATGCAGTCATCTGCTCATGTATACGGGAACCTATGATAACCATTTCATTTTCAAGTAGGTTCTCAACAAGATAATGACCACCTTTCTCTATGTTCGTTGCTGGTACGATGTATGGGGTCCTAGAAACGCGTTGTGAAGACAGGAGCTCAATGCGTAGACTTTAGTCGTGCAAATTACATTATTACACACCGTGGTGTCGGTTATTAAATCCTTTCTAACCCATAAACCTCATAACTCTGTGTTAATTTAGCTCTCGTCAACTCGGTGTTACTTTAGTTGTCAACTGTAGATATAATTATAGTGTTTTCCTACAACCCTAGATGCAAACCAAACAAAGATGTGCCCTATATACTTCTCCAACCAGGGTATATAACCCTCTGGCCTTGTTGCCTCTTATGAATCTCTGTTAGAAACATATCGTCAGTGTTATGTATAACTTGCATGCTTTTACAGGTTTTATTTATTTTTTATTTTTTTGTGGGATATAGGCCGTGATTCAATTTTTATGCAGATTTCGTTCTGTTTCCATTTTAATTGATACAGTAATATATTAATTTGTCATAGCGGGCATACGTTTGAGATGTACTCAAAAAAATGATTGCAGGGCATATAGGCATCCCCTGTCGCATGCTACTGTCATAAACCCTGTACGCGCTGAAGGAATGTGGGTGTCACTGGAGCGCGATTGGGAAGTAGAAGCGTGGCAGTGATATGGGTCTGAATTTTATGAATGAATCTCTCTTACACGGGTTCAGTCGGCCGTGTGTTAAAATCTAGTAAAGTCCATGTCTTTGAATATGAAATGTATATTTACTCTGAGGCCTTTCCTGTCCGCCCGAAATATTTTATTTATGTACTTATTTATATTATTTATTTGTTTGCAGTTTGTATGTGTATGAATTATAATCATAAATGCATTCGATTCCGTAAAAAAACTGATCACACGATAGCGAAGTTAATATTCACTGATTGTTGCCTTGTATGTTTGAGCAAGGTGCGTGAAACGTTCTGTCGATTTAAATGAACATATATTTTATGTATATAAATATACAAAGCCAAGATATGCTTGTCATTATTTTGCTAAATAATATTTTTACAAAGTCTGGTTCACGGAAAGTAATTTTCCTGTTTATTTATGTATTGCCCCCTAACTTGTGTTTCCATGGACGCGTGTCATGTGTGACGTCTTTTAACCTTGAACTTTTTACTTTGATTATTGAATATACTTTGACTTACATTACTTACTCATGTAGATACATGAAGTAGGCTATGTACCGGCTGCAAAACACCAACTTGTACTTAATTATAGTTTACTTAACTTGTCACCTTTGCAGCTTTTGCTTTACCAGTAATGATTTTTTGATGATTAATTGAAGTAATCAGCGTATCCTGGGTTAGGTTATTTCATTACTCACGCACCCTCTCAGGCATGCCAACATGCAATCAATAATTAATAACTGTTATCAGTTTTTGATATGATATAATAGGTAGATAGCAGCCATTAAGTTTTCTGATCACCAGAAACGATTAACCATAATAATGAAGAGGCTAGTTGGTTATATAATTATTCACAGAATGTCATGTGTACATTTTCATCCAGTAATATAATGATAGTATAGAAGGCTCACCCCGTTATAGAATAACGCCCAGTCTTAGCTCAGAATATAGCCCTCGTTGCCACTGCCAATTGCAGAATATATGTATATATATATATATGTATATATATATACATACATATATCTAATTTGGTAGAGCCTTTATTCTCATTCTCCCGAAAAATATTTGCTGTGTGCTGTAAACGGGTAAAGCGTATCATCTTCGATAGAGCGTTGTTATGTAACCTCTAATGACAAATTATACGCTGTATAGTACATGCTGAGGAACTTATGTTACTTATCGGTAGATATATAGATAGCTTCAGTTTCTAAGATAGAGAGGTACTCCTGCATGTCTCAAGACTTTAATATCACCTGCTCTATCCCAGGTCGCACAAACGTTGAGCGGGATATCCCACTGATGCCGATGCGATTACTAAGATGTGCAACGGTGGGGTAATCGTTGTCAGAGTGAATACATTGGCCTTTTCTGCTGCGTCGACGTGTTAGGAACTGTGCTGACAACACTGGGAAGATTACGAATCTCTATGATCGTTAAATATAAAGAATAGTGTTCCTGACTGTTTCACGGTTTTCGTCTGATTTTTGCGCGCGATGGCATGCTTGTTGCTTTCGGGTGTGTTTCGTTTAGACACGCGCCAGCATGGATGTGTCGTTATATATAGCACATTTAGTTCCATATATGTTTGCGTCTAATTGGGTTGTTAGTTATTGAACTTCTCGTTAGCATGACTTTATTTTCCAACAGGTTCAGGAGCATCGGAGAAGCTTAAATCCCGCTGTCTCATTTTGCAACAATTGAGTGGAACCCAGGTCACGGATATAACACACACTGAATAAGCATGCACGCCGACAACGAACGCGCGTCACCACCCCACGTTACGTATCAAGTAACAGTATTCGCTGTACAGAAAACGTATCGGAATGACAAAAAGACGATACCTGTGAAACCAACATTTACTTCACCCCCGAATGGTGAACATGGCATGGGTTCAAGATTGATTTAATACATATATCGGCAGCGATATCAACACGCTGTTTTACAACAGAATACACAGAATCCATAGCAGCCCGAGTTGCACGGCGCCCCGATGTTGATGAGTAAATCCCCCAAAACCGAGGGCCCCATTATTACTAGTCAGGACCATATCGTTATAAAAATCCCAGCTCACCAATGCTACGAACTGCGTATGCGATGTAATAACCCAAACATAGAGCACGTCGTAGCACGGCTGATGAAATGTGTGACGCTATGTCCTATGTTATGAGCCATACGTAGTGAAACCACTTGGGTTGACGTCAACGAAACAACGGAACAATGAAGCCGCGTAACAATCTGTATATATAGTATATATATAGTACCACTAAGCATATTAGGATACGATAATAGTAGGATCTTACTCTCCCTAATTATCTACTGCCCTAGATAATATAAATAGCATGATATGAATTAATATTCATGAGTTTAGTATATATAGGTCTATTGATATAGTATATGATATATATATAATATAGGTAGGTATAGTCTTATATTAACATATCATTATATAGTATACTAGATTGGTTACAACCCGAGGTTTATGTGGGTCCGATTCATCTCGGCTAAGTAGGCCTACATCGCAATCGCTGCTGCATAGACGATACGTGAGTAAGGCTGTACCTGGAAAGAACTAGCGTGTGATAGCGAGCAATTCCATTATAACCTATTTAAATCACCGATTCTGAGCATAGTTTCAGAACGCAGGAGTGGAAGCATTTCATTCGCCTTGCGTTAGAAATCAACATACGCGTGTGCACATAATTCATATTACATTTCTCGAG